TAGCTATACAGGGAGTTGACTCGCATTGATTTCCTGTACATGTGTGTTACCTTCTAAGTTAATTCTTCTTGAACTAATCTTTTCTCTAGTCCCTGGTCCCCTTCTCCTATTGGCCTCAGTGGCTGTAAAGTATCTGCTTTAGTTTCTCTGCGTTGAGGGCAACAAATGCTATCTAGTTTTTTAGGTGTCTTACCTATTCTCACCCCTCTCTTGTGTGCTCTCGCTTTATCATGTGATCAAAGTCCAATCCCCTTGTTGTGTTTGCCCTTGATCTAATGTCCACATATGAGGGAGAACATATGATTTTTGGTCTTTTGGGCCAGGCTAACCTCACTCAGAATAATGTTCTCCAGTTCCATCCATTTACCTGAGAATGATAACATTTCTAGGCTCCCTTTTTGACTTTTTTTTTTTGGTGGGACTGGGGTTTGAATTCAGGGCTTCACGCTTGTAACGCAGGTGCTCTACCCCTTGTGCCACAACTCCAATTCATTTTACTCTGGTTATTTTGGAGATGGGGTCTCCTGAACTATTTGCCCAGACTGGCCTCGGATCTTGATCCTCCCGATCGCAGCCTCTCAAGTAGCTAGGATTATAGACCTGAGCCACTGAAGTCCAGCTGCTTTTCGACTTTTTAAGAGGGGTGATCCTGTTATCAATAAGGAACAAATACCAGGTAAAGGACAAATGGCAATTATAGAAAACAGTTTCAAGTACCGTACATTGGGGTTACACAAGAATTCAAAGTGAGTGCCCTGAGAGTCAGGGGCCCTGAGGTGTGGGGCAGAACTCATACGTCTGAATTCCAAGTCCAGGTTCTTTCTTAGAGAAAAACCAGGAAATGACTTCACAGTTTTCCAGACAATCAATATCCTTCACGTTTCCCAGTAGGACGCCCCAGGGCCTGAGCCACGCCCACACGTGCGAGTCTGGCCAAGTGGCGGCTGCACGTCACGACTGAACACGGCCAGGCCCCTCCCCCTGCCCCGCCTCGCCCCGCCCCCGTCCTACCCCGCACAGCCACGCACTGCCACGCCCCGGCACTTTCGCGGCTTCCTGGGCGCACGGCTGTGGGCGAGCGTTGCGCATGCGCGAGGTGGGAACATAGTTTCTTCTGCCTCACCACTTCTCTGCAGGGGTGGCTTAGCAAGGGCGTGCTTCCGGGTCGAAGGGTTTGCTACCGGAAAGCGGGACGGCTGAAACGCGGCGGCGAAGCTGGAGCAGAACTTGCAAAGTTCTAGGTGGAAAAGACTGGCCATGGACAGGTCAGTCCCCGAGGCAACGGCTGGGCCCTAAGGCTTGTCCTCCTTGCCTGTTGGCGGAACGAAATAGGTGAAACCACACTTGAAGAGGAAGCCGAGGAAGTCTCGGGAGCTGCCTATAGATTTCCCGAGGCCGGGAGATTGGGCAACCCGTGGAAAGTCAGCTTCGCGTAGGTGCGAGAGGGTAGGGATAATGATAAGCTCCCGCCTTCCACCGCGACTTTGCACTGTGCTGGGCGCCTTCACGCCACAACCTTGTGGCTTCAGAGGTGGGAGGAGTAGACGATAGCGCGGCATTCCAAATACTAAGTGATCACACTGGGATCTAAGCCCAGACTCTGAAAAATATTTTACTGCAAATATTAGTGCATATTAATTGTACATATTAATGGAATTCACTGGTCACGTTTTTTTAAAATTAAAAGTGCGAGTATCAAATAATTAAGTTAACTCTTAATGATTCTGATAGCCGCCTGCGACAACGATTGAGTTATTTAAGGTCCTTAGCTTCGGGGAATTTCATTGTGTAGTGGAGGAGACAACCGACCATTGTAAAGCTGCTAGTGTGGGAAAAAGAAATGAAGGAGCAATTAAGTCACCTTTTTAAAAAAAAATCTTTTTATTTTATCGTTTTTACATTTATTCACAAGCGTATACATTGTTTGGGCCACCTCTCTGCACCCCAAGTCTCCTTTTCAAGGAAGAACTTTGCAGCTGGTTTTCGAATAATAATACATTATTCTCAAAAAAAAAAAACAAAAACAAAAAACCATCCAGTGCCTTTCATGTGACTGCCATTGTGCTGAGCTTTAAATAACTTATTTATTCTTCAGAACGATACAAGGACGTGTACTGTCACCCCCTTTTCATAGGAATACACTGAGACTGAAAGAGATTAGGAAACTTGGTCAAAGTTAAGCTAATAAATAGAAGAACCAGATTGCCAACATGAAACTGTGTGTTGCCAGTCCCCAACAGGCTGGTTGATAGTAAGTATATTTATCAGGTGGACAGAGGAGCTCTGTAAAAGTAGATCTCTGTAAAAGAAACAGGTTCAGGGGCAAGGGGCATGGCTTAAGTAGCACAAGTAGCAAGCACAGGGTGGTGAGTTGAAACCCTAGTACCGTCAAAAATAGAAAAAGGAAACATATTCAAAGGGGTAAGGATTTGAAAAATGTGCATGCTTTGGGTAGCTGAATGGGCACATACAGTGTATGTTTGTGTGGGGGTCATGTTTGTGGCTGAATATGGGGCTGAACCCCTAAACTGGAGTTACATTGTAAGTATTATGCTAGGAAATACGAATTTGATTCAGTAGACCAGAGAGAGTTATCTGAAGATTTCAGGTGAAGGAAAAGCATATTGATTCTTGTTTTAAAACAAAACAAAACCCTGTGTCTTAATCCACATGATGCAGTTTATGGATCTTTGGATGAAAATGAGGGGGTATCTGGAGCATTGCAATTTCAATGATGGTGGTACAGGAGACACCCTCAGTGTGCCTTGGAAGAAATAACTTGAAGGGTTGTTTCTCTCCAGTTTGCTAGAGCTCTTTTATTTACCCTTACATCTTGCCAAATCAACAGATTTTTTTTTTCATGGTATTTGTGGTTTTTAAGTATAGTCGTGGCCACATAAGAATGTGTTGGTCAACAAGAAGATACAGCAGTAGTCCTATTAAGATTATGTTGTCTAGTGATATCATAGCCATCTCAGTTTGTATAAGTATATTCTATGGTACTCACATGATGACAAAATTGCCTGATGACAGCCGGGCACCAATGGCTTATGCTTGTAATCCTAACTACCTGGGAGACCTAGATCAGGAGGATCAGGTTCTAGGCCAGCCAGGCAAATAGTTCTTGAGATCCCATATCTCCAGAATAACCAGAGCAAAATGGCCTGGAGGTGTGGCTCAAGTAGTAGAACACCTGCGTTGTAAGCATGAAGCCCTTAGTTCAAACCCTTGTCCCACTAAAATATAAATGCCTAATGACACATTTCTGATAACCTGTTGGATCATTAAGCAACCAGTACATTACTGTATTTTGGAGATTGGAGAAGTCTTTTAAGAGATTTCTGCCATTAACTAACTCTTCAGTCCAACAAGGGAAAGAAAATTTTCCTTCACGAAGCAATTTTTTAAAATAGAATTATAGATTCCTTGTTTTGAAATAATTCAATACGACAAAAATAACATCAAGTGTGCTAAAAAAAAAAAATCGAAGTTTTTGAGTAGCTAAGATTTGAGTGGGTCTTTGAACAATAAGCAGGATTAGGAGCCAGAGGTCCAAGACATGGCAAAAAGATCCAAGACTTGGCTGTGGGAGTAAACTGAACTGTGATTGACTTGGTCTTTTGCTCCAATCATGATGGTAATGTTCTTTGCAAATGTTACATGAAAGAGCTTAATTACACTGTTTTAGGAGTGGCTTCGGAGAGATGTCATCCCCTGTAATCCGGGAGGCAGAAGTGACACGGACTGCGCGGAAACAGAGTGCTCAAAAAAGAGTTTTAAGTATCCTTTGCACTTTAAGAATCATACAAATTGCAGCATGTTTTAAATCAGTGTTGTAGAATTTTCTTTTTATTATAGGTATTAAACATTAGCTATAGTAAAATACTGTTTTACTGATTAGTAAAACTGATTAGTTTTGTTAATTTCACAGATATTTTATTTGCTAACTATAATGCTCTCAGTGAGATTAAGATACATGTTTCCCAGCTGGGCGCTGGTGGCTCTTGCCTGTAATCATAGCTGCTCAGGAGGCAGAGATCAGGAGGATCGGGGTTCAAAGCCAGCCCAGGCAAAATAGTTTGCAAGACCCTTATCTTGAAAAAACCCAACACACAATAAAAGAGATGGTGGAGTGGCTCAAGGTAGTCCCTGAGCTGAAGCCCCAGTACCACAAAAAAAAAAAAAAAAAAAAAGTGTCCCTGAAAAGAAGTATGACTGTCATATTGTGGTTGACTTCTACTGAGATTAAGTTCCTGCTTTTTTGTTTTTTTTTCTTTTTTGAAATCTGACAAAGAACTCTCAGGTGAGTGTGAATTTAAGTGACAGAGAAAATAAGTTTTCTGTGCAGAAAAGGTGGTAGTCATAAAATACCTTGTTCTTGAAAATGTATTCACATATTTTGTGTACTAAAATTATGGTTAATTCTCACTTTAATGATCTCTTTTCTACATGGAAAGCTTTTCTTAACTCTTCATAAAGTTCGGGCCTCCCAAGATGACAATTTTGGTAATACTACACCAAGAAACCAGATTATCCCTCGAACTCCCAGCTCATTTCGACAGCCTTGTAAGATTTTTTTTTTTTTGCCTTGAAAGCATTTACTAATAGCTGTAATAGCAGCTAATATTTATTGTGCACATAATAGAATATTTGGTTACAATATCAATAAGTAGGCACAAACAGTATGATTACAGTTACTTGTTGAACTCGTGTCATGAACAAGGCACTATATGTTACCTAAATACACAGGGACTATGACATAGATATTGCTATCTCTGTTTTACCAAAACCAGACGTGAAACGTAAAGAAGTCAATATGGTTCATAACTATTGTTTGAATTCTAGTCCCATTATTTAGATAATGTTATTATCAAACAATAGTCTGTTTACTCTAAAGCACAAGCCTGCTAAACTGCACTGCTTCAGTATGCTTTACAAAATTAGAATATGAAGGAACCATTGAATGTGTCTTCTTGTTTTTTAAATTGCTCAGTTATGTTATAATGAAATCATCTGTAGTAAAAATTTTTCTTAACACGCTCAAATGTACCAAAAGCTCAAATTTAGAAGATAAGTTAAATCTTCATATCACGGGAATGTTATCATTCAAAGTATTTATTTGGTTAGAATCTAAATACTTGAAAATTAAAAAATTATTCTTTATTGCTTTGTTTTGATGATCAGTGCTCGTGTCTTTTGGGTGCATTTTACTCACCTCTCATTTGTAGTTGCTTCACTGAATCGAAGCTTACTAAGGCATCCAGATGTTTCCTGCATTCTTGGAACAGGAGGGAGGTCTCCCCGGCTTACACAGTCTTCGGGGTTCTTGGGAAATTTGTCCATGGTATGTATAAAATTAGGGCTAAAAATTTCTCTCTTTTAATATTTGGTTTAAAAACCTCTTAATGAAAATTGAAGATAGTCATCATAAAAATAAATTTAGGTTGTGTGGATTGATACAGTTGGTTAGATATGTGGACAACTGAAATGTTCAAGAACCTCTAATCACAGGTGGAAAATGGCAACAGCAACATTTGTGTGTGTGACAACCACACACACACACATACACATACACAAATTTGGTCACAGAAGTGATTTTGTGAGAGTAAAGAAGGGAATTTGAGTTCAGTTTTTGTACTCAAGGGGTAAATGGGAAATTTTTTAAAAAGTAGACGAGATGCTTTTTAGCAGTCACTATGGTACAGTACTGAAAATAGGGGAAGAAATGCTAAATGGCAGTGCAGAATGATTTCGCCTAGGTATTGAAAATAACCTATACAAAAAGAGCATTGTGTCTGAGAAGAATGAAACAAAAGAGCTTTATTATAGTAGCAGAGTGTTATGGCACATTTAGTTCCAAAATAAAAATGATTCCTATTTTTTGCACTGTGCTTTACTAAATAAAGCACAGATGTTTTTATACACACATGAGATTCTCTAAATTAGGTGTTGCCTGAAGGATGGTTTTACCTGTTAAATCTCTCCTTGTCATAGAAGATTAAAATCTCTTTTTTTTTTTTTTTTTAAGATGTTGGGGATTGAACCCAGGGCCTCTCACATTATAGACCAGCATTACTACTGCTAAGCTACAAGAGCCCCAAATCCATCTTGGGACTGGGGATGTAGCTCAGTGCAAGAGCATGTGCTTATCATGTGCAAGACCCTGGGTTTGAACCCCAGCATTAGTCATCGAGTAATTTTCCCTACTAGTGAAACTGCTTTATTTTGACAATGTTTATTCTTGTTCTACTTAAAAATATGACTGAATTGCCTGCCTCTGGTTTAAATAAAAGAAGATGGCTTTTATAATTGCATTAATTCAGAACTCTAAGACTAATAATAAAAATTGTTGCTCTTTTAAAGGCAAACAGAAAATATGTATTGCTTATTATAAAATACTTAGAAATTAGTTTTGTAGTTAAAGATATTTTCCTGATTTATTTTGTCCTTTTTTTTTAAAATTTAACTTGTGGTACTGGGGTTGATCTCAGGGTCTCATGCTGCTAGGGATGCACTCTGCCACTTGAACTATGCCCCAGACTTTTATTTGCCAATTTTAGTGTCAGCCATGAAAGGTAGTCTTAAATATAGGTTGCCCTTAAGTGAGTAAAATTATTTACTTTGTTAATATCTTTTACCATATGTCTGAAAGTATGTTTCTGAAAGCAGCGTATCGTTGCCATTTAAGACTTTCAGCTTGATCCTTACACTAAGGGTGTTAGGTATTGAGAAGGAAAGGAAATAGTACTCAGTGTTCAATAATACCAATTGAGCTCTGCAAAGCCCTAGTTACTCCCCCATGAGCACCTAGCTTTTTTCCTTGGGGAAATTGATTTAAAGACTACATTTTTCTTATCTCTATTGCCTGGATTTTTTCTTTTGCCCTTCTTTCGAAGAAGAGCCTGGCTTGTACTTAGCCAGGCTAGCCACAACTCATGATCCTCTTACCTCAGCATCCAACTCTAGGATAATAGCCATGTTGCTACACACGCTAACCTGATTTTCTAAGGGAGCTAAAAACTTCTTACAAATCTTTTCATACATGTTCAAGATAGATAAGGCGTAAACTCCCATGTGCCCATGCCCCAGCTCATCAGTTACCAGCACATCGCTGCATAAGTTCATCTACACCCACATCGCATTTTCCTTACATACTTTATAACTTTGGATATTCTGCCATTCTCTTTCATACAATACTTCTGTTAGTATCTTTGATACACAAAAGATACTTCACCATAAGTGCCATACTGTTTAACACATGCTAACCGAACCCAACAGACAGTTAATTCCTTTACCAGCTCAATATCCATTAGAATATACAATCATGCATCACCTAATAAAGAGATGCCTTCTAAGAATGCTCTTTGGGTGATTGTTGTACAAACACTAGAGTATACTTGCACAGACTTAAGATGGCTACAGTGTCAGCTACGATATACAATCATAGGCCACTGTCTTACACCTGTGGTCTGCTTGTTGACTGAAATTTATGTGGTCCGCGAGTATATTCATTTCTAAAAGCGCATTGGATCCTGCAATTGTGCCAATTATCTTTAATTTGTTTTGTTGAAATTAGATCAAACAAATCAACACTTTGGGTCATTTGCTGAGTCATTCTCTTAGTTTGTAGTGGCTGTAAGTCTGATTCTCTTGATCCTTCTTATCATTTCCATTACATTTGTTGAGAAACTACCTTCGTATCCTGTACCGTTCCCAAAAGGGGAAAGATTGGATGAACTTACAATAGACCTTTCTTTACGGTTAATATCAGCTTCAAATTTTGACCAAAAATAATATTCACTGGCTTTTTAAAGCATGGAATAGTATAATAGAACGAAAAAAATATAAAAAAACCATAATTTCCTAAAATTATCTCCTGTTTGGCTGTTCTTTTAAAAATGAAAAACACAGAGTCTGGAGTATAGTTCAAGTGGTACAGCACCTGCCTTCAAGTGCACAGGACTGGTTTAAAACCCCAGTACCACAAAAAAAAAAAAAGAAAGAAAAACACATGTAAAGTTTCAAAAAACCTTAAATCTTTTTTTCTTATTTTTTAAATTTTTTATTGTTTTATTATTCATATGCATACATAAGGCTTGGGTCATTTCTCCCCCTGCCCCCCCCCTCCCTTACCACACTCCCTCCCCTCCCTCTCCCCCCACCCCTCAATACCCAGCAGAAACTATTTTGCCCTTTCTAATTTTGTTGTAGAGAGAGTATAAGCAATAATAGGAAGGAACAAGGTTTTTGCTGGTTGAGATAAGGATAGCTATACAGGGATTGACTCACATTGATTTCCTGTGCGTGTGTGTTACCTTCTAGGTTAATTCTTTTTGATCTAACCTTTTCTCTAGTTCCTGGTCCCCTTTTCCTATTTGGCCTCATTTTTAAGGTATCTGCTTTAGTTTCTCTGCGTTAAGGGCAACAAATGCTAGCTAATTTTTTAGGTGTCTTACCTATCCTCACCCCTCCCTTGTGTGCTCTCGCTTTTATCATGTGCTCAAAGTCCAATCCCCTTGTTGTGTTTGCCCTTGATCTAATGTCCACATATGAGGGAGAACATACGATTTTTGGTCTTTTGGGCCAGGCTAACCTCACTCAGAATGATGTTCTCCAATTCCATCCATTTACCAGCGAATGATAACATTTTCGTTCTTCCATGGCTGCATAAAATTCCATTGTGTATAGATACCACATTTTCTTAATCCATTCGTCAGTGGTGGGGCATCTTGGCTGTTTCCATAACTTGGCTATTGTGAATAGTGCGCAATAACAACATGGGTGTGCAGGTGCCTCTGAGTAACCTGTGTCACAGTCTTTTGGTAATCCCCAAGAGTGGTATTGCTGGATCAAATGGTAGATCAATGTCTAGCTTTTTTAAGTAGCCTCCAAATTTTGTTCCAGGAGTTGTACTAGTTACATTCCCCACACAGTGTAAAGGGTTTTTCCCCGCTCCTCCCAACACCTGTTGTTCGTGGTGTTGCATGATGGCTATTCTAACAGGGGTGAGGTGGAATCTTAGTGTGGTTTTAATTTGCATTTCCTTTATTGCTAGAGATGGTGAGCATTTTTCATGTGGTTTTTTGGCGCATCTGAATTTCTCTTTTTGAGAAAGTTCTGTTTAGTTCACTTGCCCAGTTTCTTTATTGGTCATTAGTTTTTGGAGAATTTATGTTTTTTTAAAGTTCCCTATATATTCTGCGCCCCTCGTATCAGTCCTTGTCTGATGGGTAGCTGGCAAATGATTCCCACTCTGTGGGTGTTCTGCTTCAGTTTTAGAGACCCATTTTCTTTTGGATGAACGAGAAGCTTTTTAGTTTAATTTGAGGTCCATTTCTATGCTATTCTTAGTTGCTGTGCTGCTGGGTTTCATTGAGAACGTTCTTACATATACTACTACAGAGTATTTCCTACTCTTTCCTGTACTCAAAGCTTTAGTGTTTGTGGTCTGATA